ATGCTACTAAAAACACAGTAAATAGAATTACTAGATGTCCCAAATTATGGGAAGAGATGAAAAAGATGCATTAAGTACATCACAATTAATTTATCCATGTATGCAATGTGCTGATATCTTTGAATTAGGAGCTGATGTTTGTCAATTAGGATTAGACCAAAGAAAAGTTAACATGTTAGCTAGAGAATATGCACCAACAGTCAATAGAAAAGCACCAATTGTTTTATCTCATCATATGTTAATGGGATTAAAAGGACCAAAAGCTGGAAAAATGTCAAAATCTATTCCAGATTCAGCTATTTTCATGGATGATTCTTATGAAGAAATTAAACGTAAGATTTCAAAAGCATTCTGTACTGATGAAGTTGCCAACAACCCAATTTATGAATATTTGAGATACGTCATTGTTCCATATCTTCAAAAAGTTACTCTTTGTGGTAAAGAATACACTTTAGAGGACATTGTTCCTGGTTATCGTGAAAAAGATGAAGAAGGTAAAATTCTTATTGCCAAACCAAAGTTTATGGAAGAATTTAAAGCCATGGACAAGAAACAATTAAAAGAAGATGTTGCTCGTTTAATTAATGACATTGTTGAACCAGTTAGAAAACACTTTGAAACTGAAGAAGGAAAAAAATTATTAGCTACTGTTCAATCATTCAACAATGCTACTACTCGATAAATTTATTTAATTTTACTTCTTCTTTTTTTTTATTTCTTTATCCAAAAATTTGATTAAATTTATTGATTTTTATTTTCTTGTTTTTTAATAATTGATTCTCTTGATGATGACATTCTCTTCAATTAATATAAATATATAATGTTAATTCATGGCGATTTCAAGTTATTTATTTTCATCAGGATTAGATTTAAATATCCATTGTGATGATGACATTATCATAATTCCTGTATCTTTCATTCCACGATGTGATTTGTTTTATTTTCAAATGTTCCTTATTTAATATCACCTGTGTTTCATATAACGATTTCAAATATTCTAAATAATATCGTTATTTGGGTATATTTCATTTTGTGTTTCTTCTTTATTTTAATTTTCTTATTAGAATCAAACATGATTTTATTTGTATTGATTCTGACATTTTCATTCTTATTAAATTTAATTCTTTCTTTAATCATTGTCATCATATATTTTATGTACTTTATTCTTTCTTGTACTTTCATTTTAATTTCATCTGCATCTTGTTCATTTAATCTCATGATGTATTTTATTCTGTACCATTCCATTGATTAGATCTTCTAATCTATTTATTTTCCTTAGGATTTCTTTTACTTCATCAATTTTATCTCATTTAAATTTATTTTGGAGATAATAATGCATACACATTGAAATTATTTTCATATCTTCTTGAAGATTTTCTATTCTCCTGACCATACCCATTTATTATTAATTTCTCTTATTAATTTATCTGATTCTTTCCTTCTCCAGTAGTAATTAATATTTACACATTTATCTATTTTCATTTCTTTAAGTTGAATGATGATAGAGTTAATATATTCATCATCAATATCAGTAGATTTATTTTTTATGATAATGTTTTTATTATTGGATTACACTCTACTTTCCCTTCTATGATTGAGTTCACTTTCATTTTAATATATATCTTAGTTGTTTCTTTTATTTTATTTGATATTAATATTATTAAAATATTCTTTATCATTATTTACATTATTATTTATTACTTTTATTATATTTTCTATTTGTTCATTTCTTAATTTCTTATTTAATAAATTAATTCAAATCAATACAACACATCAATTAAAATTCTATTTGTTTGATTTATTGTGTTTTCTTTTCTTCTTGATTGATTATTATTTCTTGTTTTTGATATTCAGTGTTTTGTTCTCTTCTATTTCCAGAATTGTCTTTTTCATAATTGTAGTTTTGTTCATTTGTATTATCCCAGATGATGATGATATTCTCAGTATTTGTTGTGTATTTATCACTAGAGTCATTGTTTTCTTCTTCTTTATTTATGAAATAAAAAATAAATAATAAATTGATGATGTTTGATATTATTTGATTTTATTCTTCATTTTCTTTTTGTGTATTGTTTAATTCTTTTCTTGTTATTTCTGCAATCTCATAGTTTTGAATCGCACTTTTTTGATATTCAGTGTTTTATTTTTATTTATATCTTATGTTCTTCTTCAACACATCATCATCATTCTTCTTCATCTCATAATTAACTAAGAGAATAATGATTTCATCGTTATGTGTTATTTCTATTTTATATTTCATTTATTTTTGATTGTAATGAAATATTTTATTATTTTAATTTAGAATTTTCTTA